ACTTTTGTTGGTACTTACTGTTTTGGCTCTCTCTTATTGTCGTTCTCACTCATTTGCATTGTTGCACTACCGTCCAGCCGCTAGCGTTGATGTTGGGATTGAGTTAGGTGTCGAGGAGCGGGATGTGATGATAGATTTGGGATAGTTAAGGCGGTTGTGGCGATTGTATTGGTTGCGTCAACGGGATTGGGGCGGAAGTAGGCTTTGTGTAGATTCTAATTGTTGTAGTGCTTTTGGTTGCCTGTGCTTTTCCAGGAAGGTGTTCAAGTCGAGATGTAACGATGTAATTGTTCTCTATCGGGGCGGTGATGACGTGGGAATAAGTGGATCCCGCGCAGCCGAGTCAGGATACGAGTGTGTACTTGATGAACGTATTACTTGTGCTGCATATTGCTGCCAACTTGAAGGTGGGTGTGGGGCGTTTTGACTGTATCATTTCACAAGTTGATGCATTAGGGCAAGTGGGTATGCTAAATCTCCGCACTGACCAGAGTTGTATGCACATGTGCATGTGTACAAGTATGAAAGTTGGTGATGGTAATTTTCGAATGATACTGAGAAGGGTGGTAGGCAAGGGAGAAGTCGAGTGTGACAATGCAAAGTACTGGAATACCTGCGTTTGTGAAATGTGTGAGAAATCGCGGTAGGACGGCACCAGTGAGCGTCGACAATGGAATGTAATGGAAAGGAAGGAATACGCGGCCAGCATGGCACATGGACCACGGGGCACACTGATTCAGGTGGTATCAACCAAATTGCTCCAACTGATACTCCTCTCCGTCAATATTTGGATGGTAGTGGAATTCGTGCAATAGGAGCACAATGTGTATGTAGTGGTGCATTAGTATGCAAACAGGAGGGAATCATTAATGGAATTTGTGCACGACGAGAAGTGATAGAAATGGAATCTGAACCATCTTTTCCAGCTGAAATGAGGGAGTTGTATAGTAGCATCAAGAATGGGTGGAAGAGGGTGGCTGACTTCCTCTAGAGGAGGCGATTTTTCGAGTACGCACAAGAATATCCTTCCCAACAAATGACGAATAAAGAGGATTGGGAACACCCTGTCTCATTCCAATGGAAGGACCGAAGGGAGCAATTGTGAAGAGGAGTGAAGCGAAGAGAAAGCGAGTGGTGGTTGCGGTTGTCAAATGTAAAGATTGCAAAACGTCATGGCGATGCGAGTAAATAGAAATAGTGTTGTTGACTGCGTGTTGGCTTCTGTTGCCTGGTCTGCTGGACGGCGGCGATCGACATTAGTGGCCATTAACTAAGCAAACTCCACTGCTCCTAGAGTCTTCTCTAGGGCTAGACTCAGCAACTTGCCTATTTCATTTCCTCTTTCTTTCCTTCTTTCTTCACCCCCAATTTTATTGTTTTCTAGGTTTCATTTTAACATGTCATTTAACCATTTCCAACTTCTTTTCCACTTTTCTCCTCCTTCTATTCACTCATTCGCATTAACTACGCCGAATCCACCTCTTGCATTGCTGGTGCGGACAAACATTACCATAGATGGACATAAAATCCCGGCTGCACTCAAAGTCATGCAAAGTGCCGTGCAAAACTTTTGCGCCATGGCTGTCAACCCTACCTCCACTTAGCAGATCCGACGTCCCCTACCCAAGTTGTAGCACCACAGCTCCTCTCTGCATCTCCAACGCACAACGCGGACAGACCAACATGCAGCAGATCCGTTCACGCATATGCACACTGAAGAGCATTGAAGATGAACTGTTAGCTTGACAAGGAATGAGTGGTCAGTCAATGGACGGATCAGCTGGTCAACAATCCCGTGGCCCCGAAGAGGACCGTTACCACGTTCGCTGTTACAGGTCCATCAATCAGGTCGTCAATCAGTCTTCTTTTTTTATTTTGTACTATTTGTTATTATACACATGCAAGGCCTCAATGAAATTGCCTACAATTTACGTTCATTAAGCCACAAACCCAACGACTTACATTATTCTAACAGTGGTGCACACTGTGCTCTTGTTGATGGGTGATTAAGAAGCAAATAAATTAATGTATTTTTTTAGGTTTGTAGCTTAGACTTCATTTTTACGTTTTGTTTTTTTTTTTAATTTTAGAAATAGGTCCTATTTCATGAGTGCCATTTGTAAAAACATATGCTTCGATCACCACCCAAGTACTGATACACAATTTCAGCGCAAAATTATGCCCTTTAACTCCTTTAATTAATCCATTGTAATGCGTTAGCTGCTTGTTTAAACCTCGGTTTAGGTAATGGTGCCACCGAGGTGCCCCGCTTTGCACTTTCGCAGAAGGGGCTGGCATCTGCGCCATGCTAGTAGCCCCAATCTCTTCTGTAGGTCGGCAATGCGTTACTCTGCCCGGGTATGATATCTCCTAGCGTCTTCAGGGAAGTCTCGGTCGCCAAATTAGTGGCAGCTGGGTGCTGAGTAATAAACTTTGGAGGGACGGAAGAAGTACATCTGCCGTGGATGAGAGAATTTGTTACCACGCCTAGCAGAAGGACTAAAAATGACGTCCACCTTCGGCAACTATTTCAGTCCCATGATCTGCTAAAAACCTATTAACAACGACATCGACAGTAGCCATGAATAGTCCGAAAGACCTCGCTGCGAAGCTGTCCGTTGTACTTCCGTGAAGATATCTATTACGTGCGCATGCGATACCGCCTTCACTCCTCAAATAGCTGGATATAATCCATATAGACATGGTCACGCAGCAGTGAAACAAGAACAGAGTGGCAAGGAGAAAAGGCGGCGAAACACTACTCTCACGGAACCGTGCCCCAACAACTAGCCACGGACACGCGTACTTTTGTTGGTACTTACTGTTTTGGCTCTCTCTTATTGTCGTTCTCACTCATTTGCATTGTTGCACTACCGTCCAGCCGCTAGCGTTGATGTTGGGATTGAGTTAGGTGTCGAGGAGCGGGATGTGATGATAGATTTGGGATAGTTAAGGCGGTTGTGGCGATTGTATTGGTTGCGTCAACGGGATTGGGGCGGAAGTAGGCTTTGTGTAGATTCTAATTGTTGTAGTGCTTTTGGTTGCCTGTGCTTTTCCAGGAAGGTGTTCAAGTCGAGATGTAACGATGTAATTGTTCTCTATCGGGGCGGTGATGACGTGGGAATAAGTGGATCCCGCGCAGCCGAGTCAGGATACGAGTGTGTACTTGATGAACGTATTACTTGTGCTGCATATTGCTGCCAACTTGAAGGTGGGTGTGGGGCGTTTTGACTGTATCATTTCACAAGTTGATGCATTAGGGCAAGTGGGTATGCTAAATCTCCGCACTGACCAGAGTTGTATGCACATGTGCATGTGTACAAGTATGAAAGTTGGTGATGGTAATTTTCGAATGATACTGAGAAGGGTGGTAGGCAAGGGAGAAGTCGAGTGTGACAATGCAAAGTACTGGAATACCTGCGTTTGTGAAATGTGTGAGAAATCGCGGTAGGACGGCACCAGTGAGCGTCGACAATGGAATGTAATGGAAAGGAAGGAATACGCGGCCAGCATGGCACATGGACCACGGGGCACACTGATTCAGGTGGTATCAACCAAATTGCTCCAACTGATACTCCTCTCCGTCAATATTTGGATGGTAGTGGAATTCGTGCAATAGGAGCACAATGTGTATGTAGTGGTGCATTAGTATGCAAACAGGAGGGAATCATTAATGGAATTTGTGCACGACGAGAAGTGATAGAAATGGAATCTGAACCATCTTTTCCAGCTGAAATGAGGGAGTTGTATAGTAGCATCAAGAATGGGTGGAAGAGGGTGGCTGACTTCCTCTAGAGGAGGCGATTTTTCGAGTACGCACAAGAATATCCTTCCCAACAAATGACGAATAAAGAGGATTGGGAACACCCTGTCTCATTCCAATGGAAGGACCGAAGGGAGCAATTGTGAAGAGGAGTGAAGCGAAGAGAAAGCGAGTGGTGGTTGCGGTTGTCAAATGTAAAGATTGCAAAACGTCATGGCGATGCGAGTAAATAGAAATAGTGTTGTTGACTGCGTGTTGGCTTCTGTTGCCTGGTCTGCTGGACGGCGGCGATCGACATTAGTGGCCATTAACTAAGCAAACTCCACTGCTCCTAGAGTCTTCTCTAGGGCTAGACTCAGCAACTTGCCTATTTCATTTCCTCTTTCTTTCCTTCTTTCTTCACCCCCAATTTTATTGTTTTCTAGGTTTCATTTTAACATGTCATTTAACCATTTCCAACTTCTTTTCCACTTTTCTCCTCCTTCTATTCACTCATTCGCATTAACTACGCCGAATCCACCTCTTGCATTGCTGGTGCGGACAAACATTACCATAGATGGACATAAAATCCCGGCTGCACTCAAAGTCATGCAAAGTGCCGTGCAAAACTTTTGCGCCATGGCTGTCAACCCTACCTCCACTTAGCAGATCCGACGTCCCCTACCCAAGTTGTAGCACCACAGCTCCTCTCTGCATCTCCAACGCACAACGCGGACAGACCAACATGCAGCAGATCCGTTCACGCATATGCACACTGAAGAGCATTGAAGATGAACTGTTAGCTTGACAAGGAATGAGTGGTCAGTCAATGGACGGATCAGCTGGTCAACAATCCCGTGGCCCCGAAGAGGACCGTTACCACGTTCGCTGTTACAGGTCCATCAATCAGGTCGTCAATCAGTCTTCTTTTTTTATTTTGTACTATTTGTTATTATACACATGCAAGGCCTCAATGAAATTGCCTACAATTTACGTTCATTAAGCCACAAACCCAACGACTTACATTATTCTAACAGTGGTGCACACTGTGCTCTTGTTGATGGGTGATTAAGAAGCAAATAAATTAATGTATTTTTTTAGGTTTGTAGCTTAGACTTCATTTTTACGTTTTGTTTTTTTTTTTAATTTTAGAAATAGGTCCTATTTCATGAGTGCCATTTGTAAAAACATATGCTTCGATCACCACCCAAGTACTGATACACAATTTCAGCGCAAAATTATGCCCTTTAACTCCTTTAATTAATCCATTGTAATGCGTTAGCTGCTTGTTTAAACCTCGGTTTAGGTAATGGTGCCACCGAGGTGCCCCGCTTTGCACTTTCGCAGAAGGGGCTGGCATCTGCGCCATGCTAGTAGCCCCAATCTCTTCTGTAGGTCGGCAATGCGTTACTCTGCCCGGGTATGATATCTCCTAGCGTCTTCAGGGAAGTCTCGGTCGCCAAATTAGTGGCAGCTGGGTGCTGAGTAATAAACTTTGGAGGGACGGAAGAAGTACATCTGCCGTGGATGAGAGAATTTGTTACCACGCCTAGCAGAAGGACTAAAAATGACGTCCACCTTCGGCAACTATTTCAGTCCCATGATCTGCTAAAAACCTATTAACAACGACATCGACAGTAGCCATGAATAGTCCGAAAGACCTCGCTGCGAAGCTGTCCGTTGTACTTCCGTGAAGATATCTATTACGTGCGCATGCGATACCGCCTTCACTCCTCAAATAGCTGGATATAATCCATATAGACATGGTCACGCAGCAGTGAAACAAGAACAGAGTGGCAAGGAGAAAAGGCGGCGAAACACTACTCTCACGGAACCGTGCCCCAACAACTAGCCACGGACACGCGTGATAGCCGGCACATTCCCTCAACACCCCCCTTAACCCCCCAGTCCAATTCCCATAGAGGAGGAAACTCCAGATCCGGTAACGCTGCCACAAGGGATCAGTGACTTTGCGCTCAAGTATCTTCTCAGTTGC